TCGCAGTCGGAACTGGAAAGACCAAGTAAAGTCAGCTGTCATTTTGATGGAAAACAAGTACGATGCCCCGTGATTCCAGCAACCAAATAAGAACCCCCGATGGAGGTTATCAGCGTTCGACGTGCTGTGGTTTCCCTGTCGCGGCTACACAGTGGGAGAACGACCGTCGTATCCGGAAGGTACTTGCGTAGTAGGTACCCATCTGAGGCCGAGTTATGCCAGCAGTCCTACATCGGTAAACGCGGGCGTAACGCTTTGCCTTGTTTTGCGAAGGTTCAACGTTTGTTATCACGCTCATTTCCCAGGTTGTTTAATGGTTCTCGCATCTTTTGTTTCTACCCTTTCCCACGCACAGCAGTGTGCCGCCTTTTGAAGTATCGTGCAGTCCTGGGCCTTACTTAGGACATCTTACAAGGAGCTGTTCACTCTCTTCTGCAGAAGCTGGTCGAACAGTATCAGCGAGCGAATTCGAGTCTAGATTCTGAAGTCCACGATCTATAACCATGTAATGCCATTTAAAGGCAAAGCCCGCAATCATTCGTCATCACAGATAACGGACTAGGGGGGGAAGCAGAAAAAAAATTTGCTAATTGCCCTAGGAATCCATCGCGGAAAGTGCCTTTAACCCGCGCCTTAGCGGCGGCGGTGAAGATGATCCTGCCACGTTGTCGGAGCTGTTCGATGGTGGAGGTCTCGCAGATCACGATTGCCGGTCCCCAGGAGCTGTCCACGGGTGACTCCATTCAAGAAGTTTTTTGGAGGTACAGTGGATTCCATAGGGCTTCTCCAGTCAGGCTGCGATTGGAGATGGCTTCATATTTGTGTACATGAAGGTGATGGATGAGAGCCTGCTTCTGCTTCATCGAGGAACATCTTGAGCATCTTCCGCCCTGGTACTCATATCCACGTCTTCATTCTGGGGGTATTCTTTACTGATACGTGCCTCGGACACAAGTGTGTTTTTTGCCACCACCCCCCCCCCCTCCTGTATGCGCGTCTCGAAAAGGAAAAGATCATCACCTAAGGACTATCCCTTATCTTGATGGTTCGACAAGTGAGTCCACAAGGCCACACATCTGCATTGAGCTATTTGCCACATCTGAAGCCTAGTTAACTCAACAATGGATTGAAGCGGAGAATAAAAACTCTGGAATGTAGCATCTTAGTCATGCCGTGATTTTCAGCGTTGTTCATAACGGATCCGCTGGGCCTTAGATTCGTTACTGATCAGGGTGGCATGGGAGGAAATGAGAATGAAGAGGTGAGCAAGTTGTTAAGACTTCTTGATATGATCGTTTCTTTTTCTTTCCTAGTTTCCTAATGTTGTGGGATCCTCATTCTTTTCCAGCAAGCGCGCGCAGCATGTGCATTCCCTCCGATGTCGTCGGTTGTTTTGGTTTCCAATTCTCAAAGAGGAGTGAGTTTGATCACCTTTCTGATTTTTCCAACTCTTGGCAGAAAAAGAGCAAGTCTTAAAGAATGAACACTGCAGTAAGTCGGCCCAGTCTTGCGGAAACCACGCGTGAGTAGCAGGACTTGGCGTCGCGCCAGCTAGTTTCCCACCGAAAGTTCTCGCTTGCTCGCTTCAACAGTTGTTCGGGAATGGGTGGGCACCGGTCCCCTCACACGCTCCAGCATTCGCAGCGAACAAAACCGTAGTTCTTTTTTCGAGAACAGTTTCCAACGTCGTCTGCTATTCGCTAATAATGATTTTTTTGTGTAAATGTTATGTTGTCAATGTTGTTTCGCTCAGTTTCAGGGGTTGGAGCCATCGCGTCTCTACATGCGACCGTTGACAACAATCGGTGAAACTTCGCGGCCAGAGATTGAAGTGAACACGGACGCCAGGGCAAAGCAGTGATCGATTCCTGTCGGTTATCGACCGCGAAAATTACAAAAATTTGTCATTAAAAGTGTCTGGTTCTGCACGGGAGTCTATTCGAAAAGGAAGAGTGGAATGGATAGACAAAAAAAAACAAACTGTGGGGTATACAAAACGTATTTGATTGTGCTCTAAAACTGAAAAAGGACCTCAGTTCTAGACTCATAGCACAAGGGTGGAACACATAGGTAGATCCGCCAGCAGCTCGACGATGCTGCCTAATGCGGGGTGCATGTATTAGGCTGCGTTCATACTTTGCGGCAGCGTCCACCAGCGACCAGCAGCGTCTCGAGGGCTAGGGAAGTATAGGTATCGGTCTGGTGATCAGCAGCGTCTACCAGTGTCCACCAACAACCAGCAGCATCAGTGACCAGCAGCATCCTGTAGTGGAAAGTATGGGGCGATTGGAAGGCAGCAGATAGCTGGTACCCTCCCATCACTACATACTCTCTACCAGTAGTCTGCTACCCTAGGACGCTGGAAACGCTTATGATCGCTGGTACACGCTGCCGCAATGTATGAACGCAGCCATTATGGATTTCCTGAATCAGGGCACACCAGACATTGAACGAGTTATTTAGTCAGCCAGCACCAAAGAGCAAGTCACTTCGCTCTTTGGTGCTGACTGACTGACTGGTCGGTCAATTACGACCCTTATAGGTGAAACCCCAAATGGCGAAGTTCATTTTTCAAGATCTTGTATTTTTCCTGCAACATTTTTTATATCAATACTGCGAAGCAAAAGCGTGTACTCGAGGTTTTTATGAACCTGTGGCCCTGATTGCAAGGGTTACAAGCCCAACAGCTGTTCGATTTCATAAAAACCACTCTAGCAATCTTTTTGGTTGAAAAGTATGTAAGGGTATAAGCTCGCGTTCCGAAAGCTAGCAAAAGGAATAACAAAAGGGAACGCCACAAAAAGCATCCCGAATGCTATCACAAGAATGCTGAGTTATATGCAGAAGTCTTGACCCAGGAAGGGCTCTAACCCCACCTCACCGGTTGGGCGACAACCGTTACGCTGCCAGGCCACCTCTTACGCCCTCAGCTTGATGGAATTTATTCCATAGCCTTGCAATCGTCTTGCACAGGTGTCAGCTCTGTTTTTCTATCCCAACAGAATTGGCTGCGGCTGCCAAGGTACTGGGAACAGCCTAGATATATGTACCAAATATTTCAAGCTGATACGATTTTGAAAAAAGGACTATGATACAGGATAAGACACCAAGCAACAATTAAACCCACAAGAGACTGCGAAACGACGTATACTCGAAATTCCTGAGATAGGGTAGGCGTAGCCGCATGTTTCGACTTATACTCGAAACCAGTCGGATCGCCCGGCTAACGCCGAGCTCTCCTCTTTATTTTTAGCTGGTTTGGTTTCGCCAGGCGCATAATGGGAACGGAATTTGTTCTTCCACCTAGCTACTCATAATGCGCTGCTTTGATCGAATCGTAGTAGATGGAGCAACCCACGCGCGAGCTCACGTCCAGCTGCCACGCGAGCAGCTTGAGCAATGGCTTGGGGTGTACTAAATGGTTGTCTTGTATAGGGTGAGGGTATTATCACAGTCAGAACAACATCCTAGATTGTTTCTTTATTATG